GGGGGGCGGGGGGAGAAAAAAGAAAAAGGAATGACTTCTTCATAAAATTTTAATATGGTGAAACCCTATAGAGGTTAATGGACAAATAGAATTAAGATCATATATCTTACTAAACCATCTAATCGACAAGATCCTTTTACCAAATCGAGTCAAATTTAAGATCATGACAATATTGATTATGGGTGAACCACTATAAATTATGTATTTTTATTATTATTACTCGTAGAAATACAAAATTATACATTTAGCCCCTGTTTGGTAAGAATTAAAATCAGATTTTTAACAAACTTTGATAAAAGTTGTGTGGTTAAAAAGTTGTGGATCACATAAAATATGTGATTAAAATTATTTGTTAATTTTGAATTGAATTAAAATGTTATTTTTAATTTTTACCAAATAGGGGCTTAATCTGTAATAATCCGGTAGTTGCACTGAATAGCCAATTCTTGTGGACTTATGGGCTTGTTCAGTAGTATTTTTTGACCGTTTGATAGAAAGTGGTTTCTACCTGTAAGAAAAAAGTGAAAAATGACGGCTTGAATAATGAAATAACTATCAAAAAATTGATTTTTTGCGGAGAAAAATCAATACCAAATATGCACAAGTATATAACACTAATTGATAACTTTATTTTTAATTAGGATTTGAAATTCAACAAATGTGTGTAATAAATGGTGAAAAAGAAAGAGGGGATAGCAGGCCGCGATTCTCCAAGAAAGCCTCAAGACATTTAGCCCCCGTTTGATCCCCATTTTGTGGTAATGAGAATGAGTAGAATAGTGTTTTTTTGAAAAATGAGTGATTGGAAAAGAAGGAAAAGTTTTAATTTACATGTAATATTATTTTATAAAAGATTGTATGGTTGAAAATAGGAGAGAGAAAAATGAAATGAAATGATATGAAATGAAAATTAATGAGGGTCAAACGGGGGCTTAGTCCAATGACAAGTGGCTCGAGCTGGAAAAATATTTTTTATTTTATCCAAAATTTATTTCGTGGCAATTAAATCTTACTATTTATACTTTACTAGAATTTTCATAAATAAATATAATCACATCTATAATTAACTCACGTGTAGTTTAAAAGTGGATGTTTGAATTTTCATAAATAAATATAATCACATCTATAATTTTGGTCAAAAGTGGATGTTTGAATGTCCCTTTGATTGAATTGTTACTTAATTTTGGTTAAATATTGATGATTGTTAAAAATAAAAAATAAATAAAAAAATCAATGTTAGGTGGTAGATGAAGAAAATGAGTGAACATCGATTAAAGAGGACTAAAGTAGAACTAAAATGTTCGAGAACAACCACGAGTAAGGCATACGCGACAAAGTGAGACAACTTAGAAGGATATAAAATTTGAAGAATCCACGTGACTTCAAAGTTTCGAAGTAAAATTGCATTCATCCTCAATAACCATGAAATGATCGATCGTAACTTCTTAATCCAATTCTTATCACTTCAGTCATACTCAATATCAATAATTGACACCCAAATTTAAATAAAAAGATTTTGAGTTTTTTACACACTAAACCCTTGTTTTATAATTGGTAGTACGTATGAAAAGTACTTCTTTTATTTTTATTTTTTAAA